AAGAAGAAATAAAAATGGCCAACAAATTCGAGAAAAACGTTCGACATACTTAGCAATCAGAGAAATGCAAGTCAGACTACACGCAGTCTTCAGGGGTCCACATCACGACACCGCTGGAGGGGAGGAGGAGAAACAGGGACGCGCTGCGCTGTCGGTGGGACGTGAACTAGTGCAGCCCCTGGAAGTCCATGTGGAGGCTCCTCACAGACTGGGCATGGCCCCCACATGGCCCCGCTGTTCTGCTCCCTGGGATTTATCCTGAGAAGGAAGGCATCTTCTACAGCGAGATACGCACACCCACATTTATGGCAGCACAATTCCCCAACAGCCAGACCATGGAGTCAGTGGATGGACGGATAAGAAAAATGGGCTGTGTGCACACACAATGGAGTTCTACTCAGCCCTGAAGAAAAATGAAGCTACGTCATTTTCAGGAGAATGGATGGAACTAGGGACCATCATGTTAACAAAATAAGCCAAACTCAGAAGGTCAAGGGTCGTGTGTTGTCTCATAGGTGGAAGACAGAGAGGAAAGAGGGAAGGAAAGGTGGGGATCCCTAAAAACCAGAGATCAGCAGAGCAAAGCCCCGAGGGGCGGGAGCTGGGAGGGCGGGGAGTGCTGGAGTGGGCCAGAGGTCCTCCTGCACTGAGTATTGTGTGCATGTGGAAGGTGTGACACAAACCCCACGGGCAGGCTCCACTCCAGTGTTCCAATAAACCATGTCGGGAGCCGTGCTCAAAAGAGAGGTGGGCCCCAAGCTGCTGGGGAGGCGGTGCCCAGGACCCCAGCCTGCGGTGCCCCTGCCTCTCCAGAGGGGCAGCACGCCCCCGGCCCTGGCCATGTCTGTCCCGGAGAAGTGAAACGCAGCTGAACACACTCGTGTGTTGAGTGGCACACTTTGGTTCAATTGCTTTGGAGTGGGATCAGAACACCAGGATTTTTAGAAGCTCCCAGGCAGAGGAGCATGTGGGCCTGCCCCAGTGTTTCCCAGTCACAGCCAGGGGGTCCCTTCCTGCAGGAGGGCGACTTACAAAGATCCGTGCTACAGCCACAGGTAAAGGAGCAGCCGAGGGGTCGGAGCGCGAGGAGGGGAGGGCCTTATCCTCCCTCGTCAGAGGAAGCTTCTTCATTACAAAGTCACAAGCACATTATTTAGAAGTGTGGGGGCAATAAAGGCAGGTCAGAGCTGCGAGCCACGGCCCCTGCAGAGGACCGGAGGTGGGTGCAAGGGCCCGGTCATGAAGACAGCCACGGAGTTCTACTTCCTTGTAAAGTCGTGAAAATGCATTTTTTAGCTAAAATTAAAATGATGACTTCATACGCAAAGTTTATTGAAATAGAGAGAATGAAGGCTTGGTGCCCCCTCTGGGGTCACACAGAAGACAGCAGACCCAGCTCTGCCTGTCGTACCCCGACTCCCCAGGGGCGCTGCTTCTCATCCACCCAAACCCAGTCTCCAAGGAGCGCAGGCCAGGGGAGCCCCCGGGATGGGCCTAGAGCAGAGCCGCTGTCTGAGCACTGGATGGGCCCTGGGCATCAGAAGCCTTCCGGGACCTGTCAGGGTGCGCTGACCAGAGGAGGGCCCCGGGTCACCTGTCAGAAACACGCCGGGGCTCCCTGTGCCAGGGTGACGGGGATCGTGCAGCGAGGCTGCTAGCCCAGTCAGAACTGCGCCCGGCGCAGCAAGGCCCAGCCACGTGCAGAGGTCAGGAGGCCGTCCTGAGGGAAGGGCACCTGCAACAGCCAAAGGGCCAGGTACAGAGGAAGCAGCATGCCACCGTGTGGAGCCCTGCCCCTGGGGAAGGGGAGCGATTTGGGAGCCCGACACAGCAGTGCACAGTATCTGCACACACAGCAGGGGAAAAAGTGCCTAGGAAAGGACACCTCCCCAGTGTCCCCTTGTGACCAGCAACTGCCAGGCACTTCATATGAACTGCATGTAGCTGTGGCCTCTCTGCCCTTCAATGCTGACCGTGCCCACTGGGTCATTGTCCTGGAGCTGGGGACACTGCACCATCCGGCACAGTCTCTAACCTTCCAAAGTACAGATGCCAGGTCGGCCATCCCCGCTAGCTGGCCTCTGGGGCAGGACCCAAACTCATCCTTATCACCAGTGCCCCTCAGCCAGCCCAGCACCTCCCCACGGACACTGCGCTATTGAAGGCAGTCTCACACTAAGAGGGAGGGCCTCTCCCTGACCTGCCAGACCGCCACCTCCCCACGGGACGCTCCCTCTCTGCCGCCCTTGCTTTGGGAGATGTGCAGTCTCAACCCACAGTGTTGGAAGGACAACCATTGGGGTGGGACCCCACTGTCCCCTGTGCCTGCAGTGTGGAGGGGTCACAGACATGCCTGGGCATTGCCAGCAAGTCCTGGGGCGGGGGGGGGGGTCGGACGCCGGTTGGGAGGCGCTGCTGCCCTGCTTTTCAGAAGAGACGCCAAGGCTTGCTTCCTAGTCCTGGGAGCACGGCAGTGGCCAGCACTTGAGAGAGAAGACCTCGCCCCAGGCCTGGAGGACAAGGCCGTGGAGGCCAGACCTGCCTGGGGCGAGAGGGTGTATCATCACGAGGACAAGCAACAAGGGGATCTGGAGCGCTGGCCGGGTTCCCGGTGCCAGACCTCAGGGGGCTCCTGCCACTGAGCAGTCCAGGAAGGAGATACCAATACTGTCCCCAGCGGGTGAAGCGGCAGTGGGGGCTCTGGAAGGCTGAGGGACGCACTGTGGGGCTACAGTCCCTCTGCCTGGCCGCAGCCAGCACCTTGCATTCTCCTCCTCTCGGCTCCAGCAAGTCCGGCCTGGAGGGAGCGAGAGGTGGTGGTGCCAGAGACCAGGTCAGGCTGCAAGGTATGCCCTGGTGACGTGGCCTGGCTTGGTGGCAGTGGCAGTGGGCAAGTTCATGTTGAGCAGTGGTGCTAGGAAGGACACAACCAGGCACCCAAGGCCCAGCTGCCATCGAGCAAGCCGGGAGCTCTGACATTGGGGCTCCCCATCCGGAAAACAGGAGCACCAGGCCCTGATGGGAGCTGTGGCCAGTCTGCAGGAGGAAACACCGCTCCTGGTGGGCACTGGTTCTTGCTCCCTCGTGGTCACCCCAGCTGGCTGAGCAGAGCAAGCAGCTCACTGTCTGCCCCTGAGCGAGCCGGAGTGGCTGTCTGCTAATGCAGCTTCCTCCAGGTCCAGGCCTTCTCCCAGATGCTCCCGGGCCAGGTTCTGAGGAGCCAGCACTGTCCCAGTCGCTAAGGTTTGTACACCCTTGGTGCCCAGGGACAGAGGAGTGGATAAATAAAAGGCAGCATACATACATAGTGGAGTATTAGTCAGCCATAAAGAAGAATGACATCCTGCCATTTGCAGCAAAACAGACGGCACCAGAAGACATTGTGTCAAGGGAAATGAGACAGGCATAGAAAGACACTACTGTGCACTGTCTCTCAGGCGTGGAAGCTCAAAAAGTCAACCTGAAAGTGGAATAGTGATCACCAGGCACTGGAAGGGTGTCGGGGAGGTGGAACGAGGGCCCGGATCTGATTGCACTGCTGTATGCATGCATGGAGATCTCACCCCAAATCCTATCAACACGTTACAATGACTGCACACTAACAAAGCAAGTTTTCTTCTGCATGAGCTTAGTCTTCTGAAGTGAACTCAGGATGATTGGACATCGACACACTCCTTTCTCTCTGGTTCTGAAACTACCGAATATTTCTTTCTAGATTGATGTGGTAAAAAATATGTAACCTAACACCACTTTAACCACCTTGAAGTTCAGTGGCATCAGGCACATTCACACTATTTCACAACTCATACAACAGAACATCGGGAAACAGGCAGGCAGGCAGGGCCACAGGCTCCAGAAAAGGGCTTTATAAATACAGAGGCCACTGCATGAAATCAACCCTAGAAACATCCCGAACATCCCAGAAAAAGGGAGGCAGGGAGGCCGAATGGAGGTTCAAACCTAAGGGCCAAAGGAACAGAGCCAACCAGAATGTTCTGGTTTGAACCCAAGGCACTTTTCTAGTACCTAACACAGTAGTGACCAGTGCCCCTACCTGGTATCCGGTGACCCTCTAGATGAGACCCGGGGGCACCCTGCTCTGGGCCCTCTCACAGGGAGCTCTGTTTCTCACTTGAATCCTGCTCCTTTCACTCTCACCCGTCTGTTGTCTGTGGATTTCATTCTTTGAACTTGTGAGACAGAACCGGGCAGTAGGCTGCTGGGGTCTGCTGCCGTCCTGGGGGCGTGGCCTGCCCTGGAGGGCTGCGGCCTCCTCTGTGGTGGCAGCAGAGAAGAACCTGCGTTCCAGCTGCAACCTGCGGAGCTGGGCTGGTGGTCACTCTCCTGCTGTGATCAGCACTTAGCTCTAGAGCAGGCTCTCAGGGGCGGAGGGCTGTGGCGTGGGCAGACCTGCCTGAACCAGGTTCATCCCAAACCTCGGCCTCACGACCAGCAGCGCCATCCATCTCTAGGACTGGTGTGTCTTTTCCAGCTGAAGCCGTTTCCCCTTAAACACTAGCTGTGGCTGCTCCCCCACCCACTCCTCCCCCTTCCACGGAGAGGTGCAGCGGGGGGACCCCATGACAGTGCTCCATGGTACTTTTCCTCCACTCTAGGCTTATTTCACTTAGCACAGTGTTTTCAAAATCATTACTATTTTTACATATGTTTTGCCCTTTTGAGTACATTTAGATGATTTTCAGTTAAAACTGATAGAATAGTCTTATAAATTACAACAGATGAAAGATATTTTAGGGGAAAACATTTTATTTCCCTACAGGACAGGAAGCTTTCTATAAAGTAGGCGTAGACAGAACATTTCAAAGTGGGTTATATAAAAACCAGTGACCTGATCACGGAAAGCTGCGAAGTGCCGTGAACAATGTTGGATTTCTAGTTATCGTCGACTTTCAGAGGGCCAGTCATTGCATTTCCTTGGCTGAAGAGGAGTAGCATCGGTCTATATTAAAATTACTGTTCAAATAAATAAGTATTACAAATCGCTTTCATTATTTTATTGGTAATTTTAAGCATCAGAGAACCTGCTTTATTTTTTTCTGAAAGAAAACTGGAATTAAAATCATCGATTCTTTAGAGAAACAGAACAAGAGAGAAGGGCGTGTAAGCAATAAATAAGAAAAGAGGGAGACTTCTTAGCCCACGTCCTTTCAGCTCACCCTGGGGGGCTCAGCTGGGGTCAGGCGCCCCCTTTTCCTGGTTACCCACCAGAGGGTGTGGCAGGGCGCCCTCTCACCCAGGAATGCCTCCTCAGGAGGAAACAGGACTCAGATTCTCCTGAGACTCGTTCCCGACCCACATCTCAATGGCCAAAGGAAGAACTTCAAGAAGAAAAAGGTTCAGAGAGTAAGTTTCAGCGGAGACATGAAATGAAAGAATGTGTGGTCTCTCGAGAGGGTGGTCAGAGTAGTGGACACAAGAGCCCTGGCCACCAAACAGGAGAGGGACTGGAATCGGGACTTGGCTGTGTTCATGGTCGAGCTGGAGCGTCGTGCGGATGAACTCTGCTTTTTCTGTGAGACTGGCACTCACGACACCCATGTATTTTGGAGTAGGGATCACAATGAGACATGACCTGTTCCACGAGAGGTCCTGGCCCACCTGACTCTTCACCATGTGCTGGGCAGGTCAGTGCACAAGGCGCCATGCGGTGCCCCGGGAGTGAGGATCAGCTGTGGTCATCCTTGGCAAGTTCTCTCCCACTGGGAGGCAGACACACACCCAGACTCACAGTCTCAATCCTGCTGCACCTGAGAGCTTCTAAAAGTCCTGTGTTCGGGTCCCACTCCACAGCAATTGAACCAAACGCCTGGGGAGGCACACACCCTTACTGTCCTTAAGTAGCTTTAATCTACAGCCAGGGTTTAGAAATGTTGGTCTGAACAAATAGCTAAGCTTTACTTAGTGAGCTCATTGAAAGGGCGTGTGAGAACGTGTGACACAATAACCGGGATGACCAACTTGAATGAGGACAGGTCTACTTTGGCGCACGGTTTCAGAGGCTTTGTCCACAGTGGCCTGGCCCTGGTGCCGTTGGGCCTGACCCCCAGGCAGAACATCAGAGTGGGGAATGTGTGGTGGGGGCGGAGCTGGCGGCACAGCTGGTAGGCAAGGAGAGGCAGGAAGGGCCGGGGTCCCCAGAGCCCCCTGAGGGCACGTCTCCGATGACCTCACCTCCTAAGGTCCGCCAGCTCTAGCAGCACCAGCAGCTGGGGACCAGCTCTTCCATATGTGGGCTTTCGGCGAACACTTAAGATCCAAATATCCTGTCCTGTCCCCCAAGGACTCAAGTCCATCTCACAGTGCAAAATGCGTCCAATCCACCTCTGAGAGCCCACGTTAGCAGTTTCAGCATGGCTCATAGCCGTACGCCCCTGGAAAAAATAAATAACTTACAAAATTCCAACACACAGTGGTACAGGTTAAGCATTCCCATTCCAGAAGGGACAAACAGGGTATCAGAAAGCAAGACCAAAATAATCAGGGAAAACGTTAAATACTGTAGCTCCATGTCTGCATCTGGGATGCACATGGAGGTATGGTGTGGGCCCCACAGGCTTGGGCAGCGCTGCCGCTGTGACCTTGCCCTGGCAGCCCACATGGCCACTCCTGGCCTGGCTCTTCCCCCTGTCTGTGGCTTTCCTTGGCAGATGCCCCATGTTCCCGCATCTTCAATCTCTTGGGGTCTCAGCTGAAGCTGCAGCTTTACTCCTGTGGTGCCACACATGGCCCTCCAGGGCTGCCTGCAGGGACTCCAGCCCTGCCACCTGCTGCCTGGCCTCCCAGACCTGCCTTTGGAATCAGTGGAAACCTCCAGGACCCTGCAACCCCAGGACCCACTTAGCATGCCTGTAGAACTAGCACTGCAGGATGAGTCCAAGGTCTGCCACTGGCTCAAACAATGGCTAGGCCCCCTTGGTCCATGGCTGCCGTGGCCCCTGAGTGCCTGAGTGACTGAGCATGATGACATGAGTCCTGGGAAAACAACTCCCCAGGCAGCCACTGCAAGTAGAGCACCCCAGGGCTCTCTTCCAACTTCTCGCCTTTACACTGTTGAGCTTGCAATGTGAGGTGGTCACTGGTCACTGAGATGTGCTCCAGCCAGCTTCTCCCATTCTCTTGGTGCAGACTACTTGGTTTTGTTTTGTCTGTTTTTTTTTTTTTTAACTGGTGCTAATCTCTTTAACAACCATACCCTCCCTGGCCACAACTCTATATGTGTCCCCTTTCTAGTCAAACTTCAAGGTTTTCAAAACTTCTCACTGTTTTTTGCTCTAGATTCTCACTTTAAATATGGCTAAAAGCAGTCCATCAATGTCCATGCTGCAGCCTGGACACTGTGCTGCCTTGAAATGTTCTCCACCAGATAAACCAGTCCATCACCTTCACCTTTAAACTCAGACTCACACAAAGTCTCAGGGCATGGACAAAATATAGGCAAGTTCTTTGCCGGAATGTGGCCTGAATGTTCTGTACTCCAATTCCCAGTGGAGTCCTCCTTCCCTTCTGACACCTCATGAGCAGTCTTTACTATCTGCTAATCTCCAGTCAGAATTGCCTACTAGCTCTGTTTACAGCACTCCAAGCTTTCTCTAGGCTTTATCTCTAAATGTTTGGAAATTTCGCCCCCAAACCAATTGCAAAGTCTTATGAACCACATTCAGGGATGGTCAAGCAATGACCCTATTCTGGGTGCGAAATCTCTGTGCTAGTCAAATTCCATTGCTGTGACAAAGTACTTAAGAAAACCCATTTATAAGGAGGAAGGTCTATTTTGGCTCAGTTTCAGAGGTTCCGGCCCCTGGTTGCTTGGCCCTATGGTGAGGCGGAGCATCATGGCTGTGTTCCTGAAACCAGGTTCACTTAGTCACCACTTAAAAAGGTCAGCTACTCAAGGACAACTTGCAAGGAAAAAAGGTCTAGTTGGAAAGCCAGCCCCTGAAGAATGTCAGAGGCCATCACCAACAAAGATCCTCCCAGGGAACTCAGGGCACAAAGGGCCTTTATAGGGAGGGGGAGGCGGGCAATGGGCGGGAAGCGTGGGCTGAGTGCGGCCTTTGTCATCCAGGGCCGTTGGCTCTCCTCTTCTGCCAGAGTATTCTTAAGATCACAAGGGGCTTTTGTCTCCAGGCCGTCTCTACAATTCTTTAGATAAACACATCATTTCCCTGCAAGTTAAACATTACTTTGATTTTTTTTTTTTTTGTAGTTGTAGGTGGACGGAATACCTTTATTTTGTTTGTTTATTTTTATTGGTGCTGGGATCAAACCCAGGGCCTCATGCATGCTAGGAAAGCACTCTACCACTGGGCCCCAGCCCCAGCCCCTACTTAACTTAATTAAAGAGCAAGCCATTGGGTCCTTGGCCCACACTCTGATGTCACCTGAAGAGCATCAGGTGCTTGGTCCAGTAAATCTAGGGGAAAGTTACTGGTTAGTAAGTTTTATGACTGTCTTCTGAGCTCCCCTCGAAGGAAGACCCACCCTGTGGCTACCCCTCAAGATAAAGAAGGCGTCTTTCCCCGGAGAACAGGAGGATGGCGAAAGGGTGAGTTTTACCCACTAGGTGGCTTTGGCCAGAGGTGTCATCGACAGGCCAGCGGGAGACTAAAATATATTGCTCGATCGTGTGACCTTTAGATCAGTGATGTTAAAAGAACTAAAACCAAGCAAAGAAAGCAGGTGAGGGGCACCTGAGATGCAAACCCTGCCAGGGAGGGGTCACTAATGGCAACCAGAGGAAGGAGAGGGCATTAATGTGTGACCAGAAAGGGTGGAGAGGGACTCGTGGAATAAACAGGGTGGGGAAGAGTCCAGGCAAAAAAGGTGGTGGGTGGAGGCTCAGAGGGAAGGACAGGAAATATGGCTTCTCCCACGAAGAACCCTGGACCAGGCCCCGCAGGTGGACTGCGGAAGTGGCCCAGGTCAGGCGTGCACAGAGGACCCCAGGAGGGGCGGCCCAGCTCCTGATGCCAGGGATGGCTGTTCCCACTATCAGTTAGTAATTCACACCTGTCTTTTTTACTTTCCGTCTTCAGCCTAGCCTCAGGTCTATGGCTTTTTATTTTTAAAATTTGTTCTAATTAGTTACACATGTGTTTGAGGTCTCAATGGCAACAATTGTTTGAACTGTCCTTATGGGAAGACTCTATACCCCCTTAACCCTTATTTCCCCAAAGCCTTTGTTTTTATCTAAGTTGCCCGAGGCAGAGGGGAGGGGTGGGGCGAGGGCTTACGTGCACAGGTGTGGGTGTGGGGAAGGTGCAGCCCAAGCACCAGCTGCAAACACCCACCCACCCACCCGGTCCTTCATAAGGCTTGGGGTCTGTGTCCTACCCATCAACACCTCCTCCTCAGCCAGCACATGGCCCCGGGAGGCAGGCACACGGTTGGAGGCAGGGTGGGTCCTAACTACCTAAGGCAAATTGTAAGACAACCTCGCCCCCTCTGACACTCACTAGCTCAGTGTGGTGCTGGACTCAGGCATGGGTCAGCCACCTCCTGGACCCTGCCACCTGGGGACCCCTGGCTAGGAGCACATCAGGCTTTTCCTGGTTCATCACGATGGAGCTTTTCTTTCTGCAAAGGTATGAGTGAAGCAACACCCAGGACCTGGAGTCCCCAGGGGTCCTTTACTGTGGCGAGTGCCAGCATGTGCCCTATTGTTGAAGCCAGGCCCCGGCATCATTTCCAGAGACCACTGTCCAAGTCCTCCCACTCCTGTCTACACAAGGCCTCTTTCCACTGAGAAGAGACATCTACTTCCCCTGCCCAGGAGTCTGGCCGGGCTGTGGACTCCCGTTCACCAGCAGACTGTGGCAAAAGTAACGCCCTGGGGCCTCTGAGCCAGACCTCCTATGTCCACTTCAACCCTCTGGGGTCCAGCTGTCATGGAAAGCAGCTCCGATAGACCACTGACTTATGAGCAACCGTGTGAAAAGAGGGAGGCAGGGCTGCTCCCACCATCCACCCACCTGCTGAGAAAGTCCTCTGGATGCAGCAGCACTCTCAATGCCCCAACCTCAGGGAGCAGAAGACCAGGACGCCCATCCAGATCTGCAGAGAGGACAACTGTGGTCTCAGTGGCTATGTTGTGGAGGTCTGTGGCCCAGCAAGGGTGAACCGGTTCACAGCTGAGCTGGACTTCCTGCTGTTTTAATAGAGAGAATCCTAACAGATTTGTTCTCATAGGTTTCAAGCTAAGATGCTGATTTGCTGCAACTCAACTGGTTCAAATTAAGACAGGCACTACTGTCATAACAGGAAACTCCAGGTTAGGGCAGCAGCAGGGTGGCTCATGGCCTGGTGGTGACATCAGCACCCATGCTTTTACCATGCTGCTATCCCTAGAGCAGAGATGCTCCTCAGCTACCCCTCTCATGTCTGCAAGAAGGCTGCAAGGCACCAGATATCACCTCCAAATACCACCAGCCAGCAGGGAGAGTGGAACGTCCCCTCTACTCCTGTTTGAGGAGGAAGTCATTTCCAAATGACCCACAGCAGGCTTCCTCTCAGAATTCCTCAGCGAGGCTGTTTTAAGCCAATCACTGGGAAAAGAATGCAGTTACCAAGACCAGCTGAGCCAGAGTTCACCCACCACACAGGGTGGAGACAGGTTAGACAGGAAGGAAGGAAGGCATTCCTGGCACCATGGAAAATAACCAACTCTGAACAAGACAGGTGCCGCCGAGAGACATGGAGCCCTTCTCGGTGGCCTTGTATAACGCCTGCTGCCTACAAACCTCACAGTGTGCAAGGCAGGAGGGACCATGAGCGGGAGTGTGGGCATGGGCTGAGGAACACCAGAGTGCCATACCTAGGGACCTGCAGCAGTGCAAGCCTTAGAGACATGGACACCTCTGTCTTCCCCAGAGCCAGGCATGAGTTGAGGCCCCCCAGTCCAGGTGGCCTCAACACTCACACTGCCAGGCCAGGGCAAGGCCAGCAGGGACTGGGGAGAAGGACCCCGGCCTTGCCTTCTGTCCTCAGTCTACTGCTGTTGCCTCTGCAGGTGGAGCCACTCGTGGGGGCCATCTGCCTCCTGGACACAGAGCCTGGCAGAGGGGGGCAGAGGGAGCTGGATGGAAGACGGAAAATCAGCAGTTGGCCCCCAAAGGAGCGTTTTACAGTGCAGTCACTATTATTGTGCACCAGCCCTCGCTCCCAGCCACGAGGTCTAACCAGAAAGGAGGCCAGTACCACTCTGTTGGGTCCGTGAGACACGCTCACTCTGAGCTGTAAGCCCCACACGCGGCTCTTGCCAGCTCTTCCGAGGCTGCTGAAGGGTGCTGTCAGCCTCCGGTTCCACCACCCACTGTGCGGGAGCAGGGGGCCTGGAAACGGAGTCCACGAGGTAAGTCAAGCCGTCTGCTAGCGAGGGGCCCAGTGGGCCAGGAGGGTGCGAGCCGCATTCCCAGGAATCGCTCTTCTAGTACACTCCACTGGCCAGCTGCTGGCCCTCAGGGACGGCCCTGCCCGGGAAGGTGGAGGCCGGTCCTGACCCTCCCACCCGATCCAAGCCGTGGCCCACGGCCACAGTCTGCGCCTGGCCGGGGCGGGCCTAGGGATCCGCTGCGGTTCCGGGGCGCGGTCCCCAGGGGGGCGACCTGCCCGGGCTCGCGCGGCCCCTGCGCAGCACCGAGGAAGCGGCGTCCCCCTTCTGTCCCCGCAGGCGGACCTCGCCGGCCGTCGGGCCTTCGCGGCAGAATAAAAGTTTTCCTGCCGGAGCCGGAGGGGCAGGCCGCCCGCGCCCGGCAGGCGGAAGCAACAGGGCGGCGCCGCGGCCTCAGCGCTCCGCTCCGCCCCGAGGGCCCCGGGCGGCCGCGCCAGGCGCGAGGGGAGCCGCCGGGGCGCGCGCGGAGCGGGCGGGAGCGCGCAGGGCCCGGGGCGGGGGCGCGAGGGG